TCTGACTCATTTTACATCTACTATTACTTTTTGTCATTTTGTTGTAATTTGAGATATGATGGTCAGACTATTCCAAGTAGTCTACTATCACCTATTCTTCATCAGATTATTCACATTCAGTCCAACATATACTACTCTAGATTTTAATCAAATCTAGCATGAAAATCGATCGACCAGAAAATGGAAATTAGACTAGTTAATGTTAGGAGTGCAACTTGGGCGAACCAACCTGAATTCAACTTGAGCCCGATCTGAAAAAGAATAGGAATTGGATTGAAATTTTTAATACTTAGGTTAGGTCTAGGCCAAAAAACCTAACACAAATTGAATTCATGCAAGCATCGGGTTTCTAGGTTCTCAACCCAAACCCGATAAATTTAAAAAAAAAATTATATATATAAAGCATTAGCACTAGGGTTTTTCATTTTTGCTCTCTACATCTCACAACACCTCTCTTTGACTCTCTCGTTCTCTCTGTTGTTCTCAGCTCCTCTACATCTCTTGACCTCTCTCTATCTCCCTGGCTCTCTCTTACTCTCTTGGCCTCCCTCTCACTCCCTATATGTGTCGAAGACCACAACAATGATCAGATCTAGTGACTTTTGCATCTCAGATCTGGTGGAGATCTGATAGCTATGACAACGATGGTTAGATTTGGTGACTGTGGTGTGGTGGCTGTGGTGGCAATGGGCAATAGTTGTGGTGGTGGCTATGGGTAGTGGTTGTGGTGGCAAAGGCTATGATATTTTGAACTTTTTGATTTAATTTCTTTGTGTTGTGCAATTTTTTTTATTTGATTTGTAACTTGAATTCAAATCTGAAATTAACACGAATTAAAAAATCTGAATTCAATTCGAATCCGTCCAAATTTAACTTGAGTAGTACTCGAGTTGAGTACCTTGGGTTAAAGTCGGGTTAGACCAAAATTAACCCTTCGGGCAACCTAACTTGCCCGAGTTGCACCCATAATTAATGTGTAATATCTTATTCTTAGTTTCTAAAAAGTAAATGATCGTCCCAACATCCAACAAGGGTACTCTACCCTCTATGTAAAAGTTAAAGTACTGTAGACAATGATCCAACTGACATAACCAATGAAAATAGTTTTTAATGATTTTTGAACAAATAGAAGCAGTAATGGTCATGATCTTTGTCTTCCTCTTACCCAAGAATCTTAATTGTGCATTAAGATAATCAATGGATGTTTCTAAGGAATATTTCTGCTGAGTTCCGAGCCGAGTCTAGTCGAGCACAAATTGCGATGGCAATTAATGCAGAAATAATACAAAAATAATATAAACCTGTAACGTTTAGGGTGAGAAACCCGGGTCACATAGAAACTCCAATGGAACAGAAGCATCTTGGAATTTAGGATTATTGAACTTAAAGGTAACTTTTTTAAATCGTTAAAAGAAAAACATTTTTCATTTTTAGTACAAGAAAAACTATTCTACACGACCATTAGTGTATTATCCCGAATTTAGATTGTACAACATTGTCCATTTTAGGCTAAATTGACAAGATTAATACAATTCACCGAGTGAAATAAGGTCTTATAACAACAATCATCGTTCTCAAAATAGTTTACCCATTTGTCAACTTTAAGTAAATAAAGAATGATCAAGAATTGCTATAAGATTTATATTCTGTTTGGTAGGAACGATGAAAAATAGGGACGATAAAAAGTAGAAGAGATGAAAAATAGGAGTGATACACTTTCTATTCTTCAAAGAAGGAAAATAGGAATGATACACTTTCTTTCATGTATATTTTGTTGGATGAATGGAAAATAAAAATAACAATTTTTTTTTGTGCTGGCTAAGATTAGGGGTGTCAATTGAGTCGTGTCGTGTCGTGTCACATTCGTGTTGAGTCATTACTCATTTTTGTCAAACATTAGTCACATCTAACTCAACTCATTTAACTAATGATGTCCTGTCGAGTTATGAGTTGATTTGTTTATTTTCGTGTTCGAATTAATCAAGTTCGTGTCATAAAATTCGTATCGAGTTCGAGTTGTGTCATCATGTTGAGTCAAAAAATTTTATCCGAGGTAAGATGGAAATATATTTTTAATTTTATTATTGTATTTTTATATAAAATTAATGTATACATAATATATATATGAAAAAATATATAGACAAATAATTAACTTTCTATCTATTTTCCTTCCGATTTTGGAGGGATTGATTTAGGTGAATTGGAAGGAAAGTTAATCCATCCACTTTTTCATCTTTTTTATTTTTTTTTCTTATCAAACGTGATATTTTATTTATCTTTTAAACTTTATATTATTTTAATTTTCCATCGTTTTATTTTTTTTACCGTATCAAACGGTGGGTGGATTCAAAACAAAGGGTAATGTCCAGTATGGCAATTCTCAATGCAAGATGAAGCTATTAAATGCTTAAGTGAGTCTCAAGTGCAAACTCCCTAGTTGAGTGGACCAACATCCTTGAAATCACAAAATGCATCTTTTTTTCTTCGTCTCAGAAACAAACAAATGACAAAACATTTTCGATAAGAGTGAGGGGTTTTGGGTTCCAAATCCATTGGAATCAGAGAGCATTAATGGGTCAACAAAGTGAAAAAACTTTCCTTCAAATTTAAATCCCCAATTTTATATTACAATGCTGTCTCTTACTTATGGTTTAAAATACGAGTTACAATATCATTATGTGATACATATAAAATTTAAGTCTTATATAACTTGATCAATTTGTCCGAGTTATTTTCGAGTCGCTGACTTGTCATCATCATCGAATCAACTGATACGATTCTATGATTTTGCGATATGATATGAATTTCTAGTTATGTTCAACATTTTTTTAAATCGTATTATTCAATATTGCGTTGCGACGCCACTACCGATATGTTTCAAAGCTCTCTTAATTGATGGTCAATATCATGATCTTGAATCATGCTCCACCTTTAAAAACCAAAAGTTTACAAGGGGTTGCAAATATTTAAATTAGTTGGACTTTTATAGCTTTTGAGGTAGAGAAAAATAGTTTATTTTCTTCTAAGTCATCTCTCTCTCTCTCTCTCTAAATGTAGAAATGAGATGCTATTTTCGTTTAATTTTGATTTTAAATGTACATGAAAAAACAATAAATAGGCGGTCAAGAAAGAGAGACAAGAGGTGGTATAATCAAGTGGGGGAAAAAAAATTGTAAGGTAGAACGAAACGTAACGATCAAATTCAAATTTTTGATTTGATAGAAGTTATATCTTGTATCGATTAAGAAAGTAAGATTCAAGGATAGCACTTCAACCCCAAAAAATGCTAAGAGCATCCAAAAATGATATTATCACGCTAAAAAGTGATAACTTCACCTAAAAATATGATAATATTATGAATCAATCTCAAAGTAAGCCGAAGACAAATAGATCAATCTCAGAATCTATCCCAAATGTATATGTTTAGTTGATCCCTGAGTCAGTCAACAACCAATAGATCGATTGCAAATGCAATTATTTGATCAATCCTAATTACGACCCAAAATGTATAAGTATTATGTATATACTAAAAGTTATATACATCACATTTACTATATGATATTATCAAATATTCTTTTAATTTTATAATGAAATCATTGAAAAAAAAGATATTACCAAACTATAGCTAAAACTACCAATTATTAAATAAAGAAAAGACTATGGTTTGGATTTGGAAGCCACCAACAGGTAATTCTCTCTCTCTCTCTCTCTCTCTGGGCAAAAATGTTGGGCCTGGGTCGGTTAATTTGAGTAGTCGCCCAAGATTTTGAGTCCAGCAGTGAGTCTGGAATTTGGGCTGCAATAGCGCAAGTAACAATAAGATTAATTGGCCCATCTCAGCTAAAGCTAAGTGTACTGTAGCAGAAGGGTAAATTACACTGNGAGTAGTCGCCCAAGATTTTGAGTCCAGCAGTGAGTCTGGAATTTGGGCTGCAATAGAGCAAGTAACAATAAGATTAATTGGCCCATCTCAGCTAAAGCTAAGTGTACTGTAGCAGAAGGGTAAATTACACTTTCAACCCTTTAATATAGTATATTATCCCTTATCCCCTTATTACCCGAGAAGCCTATTTCTAGACGAAAGTCGAAGTTGGTAGCACCACGTAAATATACTACTACTAGCGCCCGCCTCATGTGATGCACAAAATTTATTCTATTACTATCACCTCTACTCCGATCCTGCCCCATAACCACCTCGGGGGTATCAATTTTAACATTATTAGAAAATTACTTACTAATAAACTAAATTAATATTTTATAAAAATAAAAGTTAGTTAATAAAGATGACGAGAAATTTCAAATGTGAAATAATTATCAAAAACGTTGAAAGTAGTTATATAGGCCATATGTTAAAGTCAATTGGAAAAAATCGTCAAATAATTTAAAATTAAAAGAAAATAAAATTTAAAATGAAACAACTCTTTAGGTACATTTTTGTTTGAAGAGTCTACGTTTATGTAATCTATTTTTTAACACTAGATCGAAGAATTTGTTAATGTGTTTCGTTTGATGGGTATAAAAAAGGTTTGAGTTTAAGTTTAGGGTTTCAGTTGATGAGTATAAAGAATGAGATCTTTTATCTGATACGTTTCAAACGAACAATCTAAAATATTCATAATCTGTTGTCCAATGGTAAGCACATGAGACATTTCGTCCAAAAACCTAATTACTATCGACAGATAGGCTTAATTGTGAAAATTTTAGAGTTTAGTGACTCAATTGGTATAAAACTTAATTTAAGAACTTAATTGACACAAGAATTATAATTTAAGGGTCATTTATGTATTTTACTCTAAAACTTATTAATTTCTCTCGGCGATCAAACTTCAAATAAAAAGTCATTTGTTTCGTTTCTCTTTCCTCTAGAAAAGCAAAAGACCAAAGAAATAGAGCTTCAAAGCAGCGTCCTTGTTTCCTTCCTCAAATACCATCGATTATTTTTGTTTTCAAAAACTGTTTTCGGTGCTTTTTGATTTCAATTCACTGATACAAACAAGAAGATGTTGGAGAAGATTGGATTGCCTCCAAAGCCATCAATGAGAGGGAATAATTGGGTAGTTGACGCCACACATTGCCAAGGATGTTCTTCTCAGTTCACTTTCATCAATCGCAAGGTTAGCCCCCCCTTTTTTTTCTTTTTCTATCTATTCTGTCTGATCTAATGACCCATTTGCTAGTATTTGATTATTGCTTAGTTTTCTAGAGTACCCATGTCCCAAAACTGTTTCTTTTTGTGTTCTATGCTTGAATCCGATGCCCATGATTTGGTTGAATTATTGAAGTTTTCTTTTTTAGTCAATGAGACTTCGGTTATTTAGCAATCTTTCTAGGGTTCTCTTCTTGAAACTTATGATCATGATTGGGTTGTGTTTAAGTTTTTTTTCTACGTTTGGGGATTTAGTGATATCATGGATTGATTGGTCGAAACCCACGACTTTAACAAGTAGTGATCATAAAGTTGTAATTGTTAGTTTATAGAAGTTGAAGATAAATGATAAATGAATTGTTGCACTAAGGGTATAAATATTACAGTTTTAGTATATCAGATCAATTGTGCAATTAGGTTTGGGGATTGAGTAAATTTAACATTTTTCATGGTTGGAAAAATCACTGGGAATTGTTTGATGTTCCTATCCACCATAATCCTTGGTCCAAGGTCAAAGCTGCTGGTTTTGGCTGAATAATGTTAACATCGGTTCAATGAAAGCTTTTTAATTCTACGTGGAAGCCGGAGTTTTATGGTCCATTGCTGTTTAATTATTTTTTAACAGAGGTGGAGGATTATGAAAGCTGAAATTTCTTGAATCACATAACGATGGGTGGACTCTGACAGTACCCTTTTTGTTTTTTGCTTTTCCTCTTGCAATGTTTATTAGGTTGATGATATCTAAAAGTTCGCAATTTTGGGAACTATATTAGTGGTAAAACAATGTGAAATTCTTACAGAAATGAAAACAATGTGGGTCGCGTATGTGATCAAATGCTGGATTTTTCAAATTGATCTTAATTTGGACACCGTCTGAATTAAGTTAGCTGAAAGTCACAATCAAATTGTAAACACAACAACCATTGCTCAAGGGTGATTTTAGTAAAGCATGTTGAATGACATCTGGGACAATATTTTTCATATAAATCACAAACAAGTAAATAAGTGCATCTGAATTGAAGTCTTGAAAGGAATATATTTTGTAGGTAATTAGTTGCAGTACATGGCTCTATGAAAAACCACCCTAGAATGACCATATTGCTATTTAACATGTTGAAGTAATAACTTGTTTCTTACATGTTGAATCACGATTCACCGTTTGATGTTTGCAACAATTTCATTGGCGGGTTTCATTCCCAATTATGTTGAAGCTAAATTATGGGCTCTTCTGAGTTGAATATTGAAGATCAAACTCACTTGAAGTGCCTGCTTAATTAGTTATGCCTAAAACTGTTTCCCAGAAATGATTGAGGTCAATGATTGAGCAGTTTATTCTTACATCATTAATGTATTGCATCTGGATTTTCAGCATCACTGCCGTAGGTGTGGGGGCTTGTTTTGCAGCAGCTGTACCCAGCAAAGAATGGTGTTACGTGGACAAGGTGATTCACCAGTTCGCATCTGTGAACCCTGTAAAAAACTAGAAGAGGCAGCACGCTTTGAAATGCGCCATGGGCACAAGAATAGAACTGGAAGAGGTACTCTTTTTAAGATTCAATTGCTGTTTGAGGTCGTACACTTAAGTGCCGATGTGGTTCTGATTTTTTTTTTCACCTGGGTCACAACGTTGTGTTCTGTGTCATTCCAAGAATGACATGTTCACCCCAGTTTTTGGTTCATTTGGCTGTTGGACTGTTTTGCCTTTATTTCTGCCCCCTACTGCTTTTTTTTTTTTTCGTTCTGGTTTTTGACTTTGTGGGGGGATGGGTAAGTTGAAGTTTATTGAATCTAATCATCTAAAACACACTATAGATAGTAAACCTTGTCCTTTTCACAATAGTTAGTAGACAGGACATTCTTTTGTTCTCCTGGTGTTCTGTAGATGTGCAATTTCTGGGCCGATTTTCTATTTCTCCCACTCTTGCAACATGTATGACACATCAACCATGTCTGTTTGTTTGAATATTACCAGTAAACTATTTTCTTCCGTAAACCAGTCACCTTATCTTGTGTTTGGTGAAAGAAAATTCAAGAAGAAAGGATTCTAGAAAACCCCATATAGTTTTCCTGCAGAACCCCCATGGTAGAGCTCTTTGATTTTGTGCAACTTCAGCATTTCTCTCTCCTTCCTCTCCTACACATCTGTCTATATGTGGCACGATCACATGCGATGATCTATCTGCCAACTGAAACTCTTAGTATTGTCAGCTACTCAGCCAAATCTAATGTATGTCAGGAATACAGAAGGTTATTGGAAATATTGGAGTGTGAGTATCTGAGACTACATACAATTTACACTGAACTTGTGTGTGTAAAATTGTGTACATTATTTCAGTTTGATTTTGCCAGTATGCCTTTTGTTAATCTGTCCTAATAGCAATTCTTGATTAATTTACACGAGTAAATTTGACATCGCTGAATATTTTTTGTGGAATATTTTACTGTTAAGTTGGCATTTTGATATATGCAAGGTCTGTTCTCGGACCTATTAATATTTTTTGCCATAAAACTCAAACCTTGTTAGCTTCCAAGGCCTCACATGCATGAACAGAAAGCAAATATAGTTGGTGATTCACAACAAAAGGTTGTCTTCAAGCTAAATATATATCCTTATTGCAGGTGGTTCAAAAGCTGCATCTATGTATGATGATGAAGCTTTAAACCAGATTCTAGGTAATGACGGGAACAAATCATTTTCATCGGGACGAGAGTCGACCAACGACATGTTTTCCAGTATTCAACGAGCAAAAAGCAATGCTTCATGTTCCAATATTCAAGCTGTCACCACTCATGATGAGGGAGGAGATATACTGAAAAGTCTCTCTGTTGAGGAGCCTTATCATTTGCTGNTTTTTTTTTTTTTCGTTCTGGTTTTTGACTTTGTGGGGGGATGGGTAAGTTGAAGTTTATTGAATCTAATCATCTAAAACACACTATAGATAGTAAACCTTGTCCTTTTCACAATAGTTAGTAGACAGGACATTCTTTTGTTCTCCTGGTGTTCTGTAGATGTGCAATTTCTGGGCCGATTTTCTATTTCTCCCACTCTTGCAACATGTATGACACATCAACCATGTCTGTTTGTTTGAATATTACCAGTAAACTATTTTCTTCCGTAAACCAGTCACCTTATCTTGTGTTTGGTGAAAGAAAATTCAAGAAGAAAGGATTCTAGAAAACCCCATATAGTTTTCCTGCAGAACCCCCATGGTAGAGCTCTTTGATTTTGTGCAACTTCAGCATTTCTCTCTCCTTCCTCTCCTACACATCTGTCTATATGTGGCACGATCACATGCGATGATCTATCTGCCAACTGAAACTCTTAGTATTGTCAGCTACTCAGCCAAATCTAATGTATGTCAGGAATACAGAAGGTTATTGGAAATATTGGAGTGTGAGTATCTGAGACTACATACAATTTACACTGAACTTGTGTGTGTAAAATTGTGTACATTATTTCAGTTTGATTTTGCCAGTATGCCTTTTGTTAATCTGTCCTAATAGCAATTCTTGATTAATTTACACGAGTAAATTTGACATCGCTGAATATTTTTTGTGGAATATTTTACTGTTAAGTTGGCATTTTGATATATGCAAGGTCTGTTCTCGGACCTATTAATATTTTTTGCCATAAAACTCAAACCTTGTTAGCTTCCAAGGCCTCACATGCATGAACAGAAAGCAAATATAGTTGGTGATTCACAACAAAAGGTTGTCTTCAAGCTAAATATATATCCTTATTGCAGGTGGTTCAAAAGCTGCATCTATGTATGATGATGAAGCTTTAAACCAGATTCTAGGTAATGACGGGAACAAATCATTTTCATCGGGACGAGAGTCGACCAACGACATGTTTTCCAGTATTCAACGAGCAAAAAGCAATGCTTCATGTTCCAATATTCAAGCTGTCACCACTCATGATGAGGGAGGAGATATACTGAAAAGTCTCTCTGTTGAGGAGCCTTATCATTTGCTGACTGAGATGGGTTCTTCTACTCCTGAAGACTTGCGACAACAAGCTCTGGATGAAAAGAACAAGTATAAACTACTAAAAGCAGAAGGAAAATCTGAAGAAGCTCTAAGAGCCTTTAAAAGGGGAAAAGAACTTGAAAGGCAAGCTGGAGCTTTGGATATTTATCTAAGAAAAAGTCGTAAAAAGGCTTTGTCTGCCAGCAACATGACTGAGATCCAAGAAAATAAAGATGATGTTGGGGAATATGGCAGGAAAAATAAGCTCTCTTCTCAAAAGACTAAAGAAAAGGATGACATTGCTGCTGAACTCAGAGACCTGGGGTGGTCTGATCTTGATCTTCATGATGCGGATAAAAAACCAAGAAGCGTGAGTTTGGAGGGTGAGCTTTCTACTCTTTTCGGAGAGCTCTCTCAAAAAGCTAATGCCGAAAAGGGAACTCATGGCATTGACAAGTCCCAGATTATGGTTCATAAAAAAAGAGCTCTTGCTTTGAAGCGTGAAGGAAACCTAGCTGAAGCCAAGGAAGAATTAAAGAGGGCTAAAGTTCTTGAAAAGCAAATTGAGGAACAGGAATTCCTTGCTGCCGCCGAAGATTCTGATGAAGAGTTCTCGGCTTTGTTACGTAGTATAGACTCTGATAAACAGGATGAGCTGTCGAGTGGGTATGGACCAAACACTAACTTTGATTTTGATCACCTAGTGGGCATTGCTGATGATCTTGGTGTAGATAGTAATTTCGAAGTGGCTGATGACGATATGGATGACCCAGAAATCGCCGCTGCCTTGACATCATTAGGTTGGCCTGACGACACCAATCAACCTATGGACACTGAGCCCCAGTTTGTTTCTATTGATAGGGAAGCACTGTTAAGCGAAATTCAATCTTTGAAAAGAGAAGCTCTGAACCAAAAAAGGGCAGGTAACACTGTCAATGCAGTGTCACTGCTAAAGAAGGCAAAAATACTTGAGAGAGACCTTGACAGCTCTGATTCCCAAGGAACTAAATTGATGGCACACACTTCTGCCATGGTTCAGGAAGGTTCAGTTTCTCAATCTGCAGAAAAACCATCAGAGATTAATCCGGTGGATGTCAATAATGTCATTGGAACAAAAGATAAGAGCACTAAATTGGCACCAAGGAGTAAATTAATGATTCAAAAAGAGCTTCTGAACCTTAAAAAGAGGGCTCTTGCTTTGAGGAGGGAGGGTAGATTAGATGAGGCAGATGAAGAACTGAAGAAAGGGAAGGTTCTTGAGCAGCAGCTTGAAGAGATAAATAATGTTTCAAATGTGAAAGTTACACAGGTGAATATTAACAGTACAGCTCTGGATATTGGTGATGATAAAGGGGATGTCACAGATCAAGACATGCGTGATCCAACATATCTTTCTCTTTTAAAGAATTTGGGTTGGAAGGAAGAAGATAATGAAGTCATTCCATCCCAGCCTTCTGTGCAGACAAATGATTCCTCTGTTACTGGAGCCTCCACTGTTATCCAAGTTGGGTCATCTAGAAGAAGTAAAGGTGAAATTCAGAGGGAACTCTTAGGTTTGAAAAGAAAGTCTCTTGTTCTTAGACGCCAAGGCGAGGTTGATGGGGCAGAGGAAGTTCTTAAAATGGCAAGATTATTAGAGGCTCAATTGGCAGAGATTGAAGCACCAAAAATGAAGGAAGCTCCATCTGAATCCAGTGAACACCGCAAAAATGCAACGCTTGATTATTCCCAAAAAAACGGAGTTGACGAAGGCGATGAAAGTATTTTATTACCGGAAGATATGCATGATCCAGCACTTCTCTCAATGCTCAAGAATATAGGATGGAAAGATGAAGTTGAAAATGTGGCCATGCAAGCAAATCCTATGGGACAAGTTTCCAGCAATCCCGTACCTTCTGATGTATCCTTGACTGGCTACACTCCTGAAATTTCAGGTGCAGCATCAAAAAGAAGTAAAGCAGAAATCCAAAAGGAACTCTTGTCTTTGAAAAGAAAGGCCCTTGCCCATAGACGGAAAGGAGAAACTGAAGAGGCAGAGGAAGTGCTGAGGATGACAAAGATTTTGGAGGTCCAAATGGAAGAACTTCAAGCCCCAAAGAATCTGCCGGTGTCTGATGCTTCCAAGCATGAGGAAGCTGAGTTTGGTCCTGTAATTAGTAATGAAAATAACGGAAATTTGAAGGACATAGTGGACTTAAATAAAGGGACTATACAAGCACCAATACAGCCAAATAATAAGGTGGTTGTGTTACCTGAGGCTTTGGGACGGAAGGAAAGTAACTCGGCTAAGCCTTCAAGGAGTTCTGATAGTTCAGTTCCTGAATTTCCCATGATATTTGAAGACCATCAGCAGCTATTAGTAGACTTGGGTCCTCCAGTTGAGATGAAAACTGCAGGAAACACTGGCGCTGTTCCTCCAACAGGTCAGTCTGCAAACATAATGGATTTGCTTACTGGCGATTCGTGGGGTAGTTCTCAGACATCACTTCAAAATATAGACGACAAACGGAATTTCAGTTCTGTTGGTTCCACTTTTGCTAATGTCCCTGGTCAGATGGATTCCCAAAGGAGTCCCCCAGAAGATTTTGGAAGCAAACAAAAGGCTCTGCGTGAGAAAAGAGAAGCAAACTTTCAAGAAAATAAGAAGCCACAAATTGATGAATCAAACTCTGCTCGGGTGAGTATTCCTCTGTCTGATCGAAGTTCCATTCAGCAAGATATACTGGCTCGTAAGAAGAAAGCAGTCAGTCTGAAGAGAGAGGGGAAATTGGCAGAAGCTAAGGAGGAACTTCGTCAGGCAAAGCTTTTAGAGAAATGTCAGGAAGAAAACAATTCCCTGCCTGCCACAGCTTCTAGTGATGTATCGAGTTCTAATGTAGTCTCTGTTGTACAGAAAGAGCAGGGTTTGAAGTCGGCTCCAAAGCCATTGTCTAGTCGCGATCGTTTCAAGTTGCAACAGGAGTCTCTAAGCCACAAACGCCAGGCACTTAAGTTGCGTAGGGAAGGTCGAACAGAAGAAGCAGAAGCAGAGTTTGAGTTGGCTAAAGCTCTTGAAAGTCAGTTGGAAGAGTTGGCTGCACATGACATGAAATCTTCTTCCAATGCAGCTGAACCAGCAGATGATGTCGGTGTCGAGGATTTTCTCGATCCTCAACTTTTGTCTGCTCTGAAAGCAATTGGTTTGGATGATGACACCTCTGGATCCCGAGGCCCAGAAAGGACAGAGTCAGTGAAACCAATCACTAGTAAGATTGATAATTCTAGTGAAGAGAGAATACAACTGGAAGAACAGATCAAGGCAGAGAAGGTAAAAGCAGTGAACTTGAAACGTTCTGGAAAGCAAGCTGAGGCCTTAGATGCTCTTAGGCGGGCTAAACTGTATGAAAAGAAGTTAAAATCGTTGGCTTCATAGGCTTCTTCCTTATAGTTGAGCATCTTTCAAGTACAATCTGTAAAGCTCAGGTATGCTAGCGCATGAAAAAGATATGAAATAGTAATAATTATGCAATAACCTGCTTGGAAGATGCATATCAAATGGAAACATGTATGATTTTAAATTGCTACATTCTTTATACAACATAAAATGAAGTTATGATTGTGTTGAAGCTACGTCTTTTTTCCTCCCTTTGCTGTTAAGTAGGGATGCTGAAATACAACATTGATGAGGAAATGTAATCTGTGAGGTAAGGATGTTTAAGGAATGAAGGAGAAAATCTTAGAGCTGCATTGTGCCTCTGTGGTTGCATATGTTCATAATTTATAACAGCTTATGTTTTTCTCTCTCCTTTTGGAATATGTTGCTTAAGTTTACATTACTTAGGACAACAGCTAAGCAAAGAAAATCATCTTTTGTTTTTGTTCTTCTATATCTGCTGTATTGTCAACTCCTTTTAGTGAAAAAATGTCGGTTAGGATCCACTCCATTGTTACATTTTTCCTATGTCAAATGAAACAGTTACAGCATGCAGTAGGAAATCTGTTTTTCTGATATGTACGTGGAGCAAACTCGTTGAGTATTGTTCCGTGTATCTTGTTAGGCAAGGCGTACCTAATAGGTGGAGTGGCCCGTTCACTTATATGGCCCAATACTCCCTCATCATCAACCAATGTGAAACTCATTTGATATCTCAACAACTGCACAATTGTTCAATAATCCAATTAATACTGGTTGGATTTACTGATTATTAACTCATTCAAACTTTAATCAAGTTGTCTCGGCTAAGACTAGGGAATTCATAGATCTTGAAGCAGGACTGAATGCAAGGGTGTGCCATTGTAGGAATGGTTCAAAATGTCATACTGGTATGATTCAGCCAGCCTTTATTCGACTCACTACCTTCTAATTCGATACTATTCCAATGTTCTTTTAAACTACTAGTATCATGCAACTAAGCTGTGTTGTCCGATATGTCTCCTAATTATCCCCGAAACGTCCGAGTCAACATCACTAAATCCGTCGATATAGTTTTGTGACGCTGCCATATATTTTGAATCACTTATCATATTCATCTCCTTCTATGCAGCATTTTGTCCATCCCTCCTTTCTCCAAACTGCGGACCAAGCTTAGAATATTCTAATGGAGGACAACCTCATGGGAGTAGCGTCCGATATTGTTTTGCACTGCCACAACTAATGTATCTAATTGCACTCCAAGTTTATGGCTAGGGGTGTCTATGGGTCGGATTGGCTCATGGAGCTTGTTACCCAGTCTAAAAAAATAGGCCTAAAACTAGATAAATTTGATAATTTTGTCCGCCCGAATTTGAACCCAACGAAGAGAGCTTGAGCTTGCCTCAAGTCATTATCCAACCCAAAATCCGGCCCATCAGCCCACCCCACAAAAACCAGGCCCAAGTGGGGATATTTCCACCCACTTTGTTTGAAAAAACCTGACCATTGAAAGTAAGGTGTTTATTCCTTTAAAAAAAAAGTTATTAACTTAAATACTAAGTTAAGTAATCTAGGGTATTCATTATTATTTTTTGTCTATTTTGACTGCACTTTTAATTCAAAAATATAATTTACAAAAATACTAAATTAAAAACTTTTTAAATGAAGATGTATATAAATAAAAAAGGCTTGCCCGCAAGGACCGCCTAGTGAATGGCGGGTTGGATTGTGGGTAATTTACTCTAACGCGAAACTCAGATTGATCCGTCATATAATTCACTCGGATAAGGACTTGAACTTACTCTACCCAAATATTCACGGGTCTTGACCCATAGACACCCTCTAATGATGGCTGATACCGTGACTTCCAACAATTGTAGCATTTGCTAATGGATGAGTGAAAAATCTAAAGAATAAAGCAAACAAAAAAGGGCAAAAAGATTTGGAAACAACCAAATATTTGGAGCATTACTTGCACTACGGAACCAACCACTTCTTCGTACTACATCAACTTGAAATATCCCCTTGTCCCATGATGTTGGCCACTCATTTTGCATTAGGGTTTATCAGACTGGATGGTACATTCTTATTCTGCAGAACAAAGTGACTATGACATTGGGAAGGCAACTTACTCATTATGCAAATAGCAACTCGAAATAGCTCCATACTTCGCTTTGGTTCATGTCGTGTTTACGTTGTCGTGATGAGTTCGTGGCCTGTTTATAGAGTCGGACAACCTATCAGAACTAATAAAAAAAAATGTCAATGGTCATTAATGTAAATTAGTGATGAAGCGACTATTGAATTAGTGGTTGTGTTTCATTTCTCAAGTCCGATCTTGCTCACTATGAATTGAAATTTTTATGCCTTGTGTGGTCTTAAATGGACCTCTGTGTTCACCTTGGCTCCCCCAAGCAAAGTGTATCCTTGCTCCACCTCTTATGGTGATCTAATTTTAGAGGATCAGATTGGTCATATTACTTTTATAAAGCAAGTTTTTTTTTTTTTTTTTATAATAAAAAATCGTTTCAACTACGAGTTTAAATCACATAGATATAGAGTAGATTCTAGATGAACATATCAACCAACAAACTAAAAATATCGGGTAAACCGGTATCCTCTTGCAAGATTTGAACTTAAAATTTTATACTCTCTAAATTTAAAAAAATTCGAGCTATTCTCACGAATTATCAATGAAAGAAGCATTGTTGTATTTGTCACTTATTTCGAATTCACAATTTTTTTAAGTGCTTATGAACAGTAACCATTACCACAGTGATTGATATCTCAAAGAGGAGGAAGACTACAGTACGGAATAAAAAATTTTGATATTATATCACTAAATTTTATGAGTTTTATGTGTTGAGATATAAGTTTTTAAGTTCACCATGTTTTTCGTGTTTGTTGAACTGTTGATTGAAATTGATGGCATGGAAGTGCAGAAATTTGCAACCCCTTTATGTAAAATTGTATTTGTCTTGTTTCACCTTCCTCTTAAGAGAACTTCTACACGTAAGCGGTACCAATAATGAAAATTATAATTTTTTAAGATTAAGTTATAATTTTTTTAAGTTATAACTTCAAAGTGCATGATCGATCATAGAATGTTGGAATCGATATTACATTTTTCATGATCGATCATTAGTGTCTATGATTGATTATAATATCTGTTAAACAGTTATAACTTTATCATATAAAGTAATAACCGGTGAAACCGATACCAAAAAAAAAAAAATTTGGTACCATAGAGTTTCCCTCCTCCTAAACGTTTATGAAAAAAACATATATGTTATGGTGGGGCAACACCATTTATGATATATTGTTATACTAGTCATAATTTGTTCTTGAAGGTACGATGAAATATAAAATTTGAGCGTCTAAAAAATTAATCCCACTATATTAAATAATAAATTTTTTCAAAATATATAATTCGATAAATTTTTTTCAACATGTGTATACTGTCGTGTATAAATAATGTCTAAAATAAAAATTATGTTAAGTTATAAATTAATCTAATATTAAATGCTTAAATATATGAAAAAAATGAGTAATATAATATTTTTTAAAAAATATATATATAAAAGATAAAAATTCAAGTTTGCTTAAGTATTTTATCACATAGGTTGATATTCACGTTTGGGCAATGCAATTTTGCACCACAAAATCCACTGGCTCTCTGTTGTCCTGCCATCTAATGCCAACCCACCCAACTATAGTCACTACTGACCATGGAACATGGCTTATCCCATTATTATGTCCTCCCCCCAATGCAATCCAGGTACTGGTAGCGGTGCAATCAGCAATCACATCATATTTCATCCTTAAATATTTATTAAACATAAAAAAGGTCAGACTATAATATCCATTTTTTTTTTTGGTATGATACCGAAATTTTATTTGGACTATTGATTTAATTTATCTATTATTGTAGTCATTGATCAAGTTTGAGAAGTGGATACCAATTACTTGCTAAACTGATAATGAAAAAGAGTAAGAGAATGTGACAAATAACCTCACCCAAAAATGTTGCAACCGCTACCAAAAAGTTGAACCCTTTTAAATTCAAAAAAATTTGAACCGTTCCAACAAAACTTACTCAAAAAGGTTGGAACTCACTCCAAAAAACTGTTGAACCCCTCCCCAAGAGTTGTAATACATACCCAAAAAAGTTAGAACCTCTCCTTTAAGAGTTGAAATCCGTACCCAATAGTTGAAACCTTTATTCAAAAAGTTGAAATCTCTAACAAAAAAAGTTAGAATCCATAATCCAAAAAATTGGAACTCCTGCCAAGGAACCTCTATCCAAAAAAGTCAAAATCCTACCTAAAATAGTTGAAACCCTCCCCTAACTGTTAGAACCACCTATTGTTAGAACCCTCAAGAGTTGGAACCTCCCTACAAGAGTTGGAACCGCTAACCAAAGAAGTTGAAACCCGTCTCAAAAAAGTTAGAACTCGTATCAAAAAAAATTGGAACTCTTATCCAAAAAAATTGGAACTCCTAACCAAAAGAGGTGGAACCTAACCCAATTAGATTAGAACCCTCACCCAAAAAAGTTGGAACCGCAACCAAAAAATTGAACCCTTTTAAACTCAAAAAAGTTGGAACCCTCCCAACATTTGGAAACCTATCCAAAAAAGTTGGATCCCTTACAAAAAGGTTGGAACCCACTCTAAAAAATGTTGGAACCCCTTTCCAAGAGTTGTAATCTCTATCCAAAAAAGTTGGAACCCCTCTTAGTAGTTGAAATCTGTACCCAATAGTTAGAACCTCTACCCAAAAATTTGAAATCCCTAACCAAAAAAGTTGGAACCCATAACCCAAAAAATTGGAACCCTGCCAAGGAACCTTTACCCAAAAAAGTTGAAACCCTCTCCGCAACTGTTAGAACCATCTACTGTTAGAACCCTCAAGAATTGAAACCTCTAAAAACGTTGGAACCCTCCCCACAAGAGTTGGAACCGCTAACCAAAGAAGTTGAAACTCATCCAAAAAAGTTGGAACCCATATCCAAAAAAGTTGGAACCCTAATCAAAAAAGTTGGAACCTACCCCAATTAAGTTAGAACCCTACCTAAAAAATTAAAACACCTACTGAAGAGTTGAAAACCTCTACCCAACAAGTTGAAACCCCTAACCAAAAAAGTTGTAACCCTAACAAGCAAAGTTGGAACCCCACCCAACTGTTACAACCCACCTATTTATTAGAACCACAAGAGTTGGAACCTCCAAAAATGTTGGAACCCTACCCACAAGAGTTAGAACCACTACGAAAAAGTTGGAATCCCTAATCAAACAAGTTGAAACCCACCAAAAAAAGTTGGAACCTTATTCAAAAAAAGTTGGAAACCCT